AGCCTCTTCTGAGTAGACTCCAATTTGTCTAATTCTCCTTGAAGGGTGCTCCTGGGAGAAAAGAAAAGGCTGCTAATTTGCATGACACAGACTCTTCTCACAGCATGGAACCACCAAGACATCAAAATACACCAGCTGCCTGAACCTGAAGTGCAGCCAAACAGAAATGAGATTTTTGTGGATGCTAATAGGCACTATGCAGCCTTGGATCATTTCCTCTAGTTCTAGATCCAACTTATGTGACTGTGGGCAGGTGACTGTTACGAGAAAACCTCGGCTAAAACACTCTCCTGGTCTCAGACCTTCTGACACCAACCTAGAGCGGTTCCTCCTCCATCATGAAAAGCAGTTGAATTGGCAAACTGTGACTGTGACAAATGTCTGTGGTTACTGTCTCAGTAAACAGCGCCCTCCATCCAGGTGCACAGGCCCAAGCCCTACGGTCATTGTCGATTCCTCTTTCTCTCCCGCTCAATAATATGGAACTCATTAGCAGAACACATAAGGTCTGCCTTCAAAATGCATCCCAAGTGCAGGTACTTCTCACCTTTCTTTACTATGCCAGTCCAAGCTATTGTCACCTCACACCTGGACCCTTCTAAAAGCCTATTTGGTCTTTGCTTCCACTCTCACTCCCTAAGTTCTATTCTCTACCCAGTAGCCGGAATGGCCCTATTAATCAAGTCCTGTCATTCCTCTGCTTTCACCTCTCCAACGTCCTCACATCTCCTTCTGAGTAAAATCTAAATTCCTCTCCATGGCTCAAAGGTCCTGGTAATCTGGACCCCCGCCTCTTGTCTACCTCCACTGGCTCTATCACTCCCTCCTCTCCAGCTGCTCTGGCATCCTATCTCAGAGACTCTGCACAGCTATTTCCTCTGCTTAGAACATTCTTCCACCATTTATCAGCCCCTCACTTCCTTCAGCCCTCTTGTTCGTTCTACATCCTTGGAGAGGCCCTGCATGGCACATATTTTACTGTCTGTCTCCTCCTACCAGAATGTAAGCTCTCTGATGGCAGGATCTTTGTTTCTTCCTCTATCACCAGCCCCCTAGTAGAGTGTCTGAGAATGTGCTGAATGAATGAATAAATACTGCAAATGCATAAATAGCTTGCTCAAAGTCCGACAATGGTGCTGACTGGCTTTCAGAGTCTCTACTGAGGAATAAAAATAACTTTGTCCCTCAGTGTCCCAGAGATGTCACAGGGCTCGCTTTGGTTGAGCCAGAGGTAGGATGCCCCAAGTTCTACCTGTTCAGGTAGGTCTTTTCCCCAGAAGCAGCTCCTGGCAGGACGAGGGAGTCCTGTGAATTCTAAAACCCCCACAGAACGGGGTTTAAAAAGTACTAAATTAGAGGTTTCTAAAGGCTTCTCTAACCCAAAACTCAAATACAGTTAGTGGATCAGAAGAAGCACAAAGACCTTCCCTGGTCTGTCCTTCCCCTACAGCTGCTACACTTCTCAGAAAGTGGCCACAAAGGGACAAAAGAAGGAACTTGATGCCCTGTGACATTATCACCCTGATAGAGTTGCAATGCTAAACTCTGATTGAGCCCTGCTGTTTCAGAAGTATAATATCAAGCAATGCACTAATGAGATGAGGAAACTGCATCAAGGAAGCCAGCTCATCCTTGGGGAAATGAGAACACAGTGTCTGACGTCAGCATGACACCCAACTCCTATCTTAGCACAGGCTACAGATAGTATGCTGCTGTCAGCTTCATTATGGAAACAATACAGAAATCTGCAGCAGACATTACTCCCAGCTTCTGGACTGTGAATCAATGACACCAATGCTTCAGGAACCAAATTGGAAGGCTAGACAAAGTCATCAAACTTGAGGATTCAGCAAGGTAATGGGACTGAATATGGTTTCTGGCGCAGAGCTGCTATTAGTCAGGGCAATGTGAAATTCACTGCTACTAGAGCTTCCTGGGTGGATTCACTCATTCATTCAACAAACATTTGCTGGCAATAAAGAGATCTGCCACGCAACAAAGAGAAGAAAAAGACTACAAAAGATTACCCTGCCTTTTGTAAACTAACAATGTAATAACTATGATGACAGTGCTAAAAAAAGAGCAGCCAGCTGGGTGTGGTGGCACATGCCTGTAATCCCAGCACTTTGGAAGGCTGGGGCAGGAGGATGGCTTGAGGCCAGGAGTTTGAGACAAGCCTTGGCAACACAGTAAGACCCCGTATTTATTTACATATATTTTTAAAAAGAGCAGCCAACATTTTTTTGAGCACTTATCCTAGCAAGTACCGCTGGATTCTTTTTTTTGTTTGTTTTTTATTTTTTGTTTTTGAGTTGGAGTCTCTGTCATGCAGGCTGGAGTGCAATGGCGCGATCTCAGCTCACTGCAACATCCGCCTCCTGGGTTCAAGCCATTCTCCTGCCTCCGATTCCAGAGTAACTGGAATTACAAATCTGTGCCACCACGCCCGGGTAATTTTTGTATTTTTAGGAGAGATGGAGTTTCATCATGTTGGTCAGGCTGGTCTCGAACTCCTGACATTGTGATCTGCCTGCCTCGGCCTCCCAAAGTGCTAGGATTACAGGTATGAGCCACTGCACCCGGCCATGTTGTATTCTTTAAGTGCAAGATCTCACACTATCATCACAACAGCCCTCGGTATTACTGTCCTTGTTTTGAAGATTTTGAGGCTCAGACACTGATTCAGAATCACAGCAGGGTTCAAATCCCCTGACTATAAAAGCCAGTGCCCATAACTGCTAGGAAACACTGCTTACTCTAACCTAGTGCATTAACCTAAGTAGGATAAATAGGGACTTCACCCTCTGATAGTGAAGGGAGGGTTTCTGAAAACAAAAAGAAGGCCAGGTGCGGCGGTTTATGTCTATAATCCCAGCACTTTGGGAAGCCAAGGAGGGAAGATCCGTTGAGCCCAGGAGTTCAAGACCAGCCTGGGCTACATAGGGACACCTCACCCATTCCTACAAAAAATGAAAATATAATTAGCTGGGCATGGTTATGTGTGCCTGTGGTCCCAGCTACTAGGGAGGTTGAGGTGAAAGGATCACTTGAGCTCTAGAGGACGAGGCTGCAGTGAGCTGTGACTGTGCCATTGAACTCCAGCCTGGACAACAGGGTGAGACTCTGTCTCAAAAACAAACAAACAAACAAAAAACAAAGGGCCAGGCACAGTGGCTCACACCTGTAATCCCAGCACTTTGGGAAGCAGCCAAGACAGGCAGATTTGAGATTAGGAGTTCAAGACCAGCCTGGCCAACATGGAGAAACCCTGTCTCTACTAAAAAATACAAAAACTTAGCCGGTCATGGTGGCTCATGCCTGTAACTACTTGGGAAGCTTAGGCACAAGAGTTGCTTGAGCCAGGGAGGCAGAGGTTGCAAGTTGAAGTAAGCCAAGATCGCGCCACTGCACTCCAGCCTGGGTGACAGAGTGTGACTGTCTAAAAAAAAAAAGAGAGAGAGAGAGAGAAGAATATGGTGAATATGATATTCTTGCTCCTGCTGATGGAAGAAGTCAGTCCGGGAACCCAAGTCTGGGAATCCATAACAGGGGCCGGATTACACTGCAAACAATAATGAATGTAGCTGCCAACATACATCTTATTTCCAACTGAGAAATAAGAAAGCCTCAGAGGGGAAAATTCACTTTCCCAGACTTTTTAGTGGGGTGGAGGGGTAGAATCATTCTCATTTGACCCCCGTACATCTTGACATTTCTACTTATTAGAAATTAAAGTATAAATTAAGAAGCTTACTCTCCCTTCTCAGACTCCCATAGCTTCTCATCTGTAACTTCCTCAAAGCACCTGCCACCTTCTCTTACTACCCTGGAGAGTTGCTGACAGATGCTAATTTATTTTTACTAAATACATTACCTTACCGGAAAGGCTAAACATGCATAATAGATAATACCAGCTACCCTTTGTTGAAAGAGGCTTACAGATGGATGAGGAAACAGTGACCTGCCCAAGTAGCACAACCAAGACCAAAGTCCACCTGACTCACAGCCCAGTGATCTTTTAAGGACACGATCCTGCCTCTTCTATAGAACCATGTAAAAAGCTGAAAAACTTAGAGAAATAAAAGGAGAAATGCAGGCAAATGGTTCTGTAATCCTGCCAGAGGCTAAAAGTCCTTGTAGCAGGACAAATGCAATCCTTTCCAACCTCACAATGCAAACAGATGATAATAGTTGTCAAAAGACAAAAATTACAAGAAATTTAGTTTAAAATCTTAATTGGCTTATATTTGCATTCTAGAATCAGCCAGTGCCTCGTTCTATAAAATAGAATGAGTGCTCTGATTAGCTGAGCTGAGGAGGCTGGCTTTATAGACAGAAAAGGGCTGAAGAAAGCAGAAACACAGAACAAAAAGCGAATTGGTTGTTTCAAAGTTATTTTCCTTGTAAAGGTTAAAGCAGAGAGGACTTCCTCATCATGCCAGCTAAAGCTGGTTTATTTGGGGATTTGGCTATATTAACTGTCTCTCTCTCCTAATTTCTAGGAAAGTCAAATAAGCAACTTAGTTTCAGCCTGGTGGCATGGAACTTCAGCATAAGTGACTCCATATTGGGTTGATCTGTTGGGCATAGTGCAGGGGCTCAGTCCAAACCAATAGCCTCTTATAAATTTTATTTAACATAGTGATAATAACAATATGACTGTGGTAATAATAGAGGCAGCTTACTATGTGCCTGGAACCGTTCTAGGGGCTTTACAATTTTTAAAAAAATGTCCTAAGTTCTTGAAGGCAAGGGACTTTACAAATATTAACTCCTATAATTATATAACGATATTAAGTGGGTACTATTATTATCCCCACTTTTTAACGAGGCAAGGTTGAGAGGTTAACCAATTTGCCCCAGGCAAGCCCATGAGCACTTACCATGTGCTACAAACTAAGTTCAGAAATTGTACTAAGTATAATTAACTGGTTTAATACTCAAAGCAACTCCAAGATACCTGCTATCATTATCACCACTTTCAGAGGGAGCCACAGAACTCAAGGCAGCCCGAACCCGGAGCCCGCGCTTAGCCACCAGCTGCGTGGCTGAGGGCAGGGCGAGCTGACCCAGGTTGGGCGCGCGTGGGGCGGGGGCTGGGTAGAGATCTGTTCACTCGAGTTCTCAGCAAGGGCCGTACTGGACGTCGGCTCTGAGTGTGACCAAGGCCCTCGGCTTCTCCAGATCCAGGTGCCCCAGCCCGGGAGCTCCGTGCCAGGGAGCCTCCGAGCATCGCGGGCCGCTACTGCCCCCTGCCGCCGCCCAGGCCCTGCAGGGAGAGCTTGCCCGGAGCAGAAGCGCACAGCCGCCAGGCCTCCGGCAGCTCCCAGCCACGACCACCCAGAAACCCCGCAGAGGAAACGGAAGCCGCTGCCCGGCACTTTCTGCACTCCTCTCTCCGCCCTCAGGTCCCTGCGGCCTCCCATCACCGTCGTCACTTCTCGTGGGCTGGCGGGTAGAGCCCACCGGCTCCCCACCCACCTGGCTCGCGGCCCACGCTCCGAACGCCAGAAGTTGCCATGGTGAAGGACGCGGGAGAAGCGCCGGAACGGGCGCGGACGCCAGGGAGGGCGCAGAGGAGGCCACGCGGGTCCTTCCTCTACCTGGGCCCAGGCACTTCCGGTCTCGTGGGCGTCGGGGAAAGCTACTTGCAGACTTCGCTGCGGGCTTAGGATCTCCGACAGGAAGGGAAGCGGGGGCTGGAGGACGCAGAGACTCTGCCTGGGCTGCTCGAAGTCTAAGCCTGTAACCTGGCTCGGGTCCTCGTTTTCCAGCTGTCAGTGACCGGCTGCCCGCGGTTGCCATTGTGACGCTGGCCGCGGAGAAGGGCAAGGTCCCGAGTCGCGTACAGTTGCTCCTCGCCGCCACTTTCCTCCCCCAGGCTGTGGGTAGTAGACGTCAAAAGAGATACACCAGGGCGCGACCCAGACCAGCGTGGGGGCTGCTTCAAGCATTGGACACACTTCCTGGGCCCCTCGTGACCGCACCCTCCTGGCCTCACACCGCGGGGTGGGTTTGCATGAGGGTGGGCTGAGCCCTGTCACTGAGCGACACTGACTTTTTCAAGGCCGCCTAGCTTTGGTTACAATGGATGTCTCATACTGAATTTTAATCAGTTTCTTACCGGAGGACATTAATATTTTTTCAATCTTTTGTTATTACAAACAATACTAGAGTAGTGTGGTAATATCCTTGTGTGTACGTGCACACGTGCAACTTTCTCTGTAAATTTCCAGAAGTAAAATTTCTATGTCAAAGGCCAAATGCAATTTTAATTTTCATGAATATGACAAAATTGCTCTTCAAAGACACTAGCAAATTTACATCTCCACCAAAACTGGAGTCCGATAATTTTAATTAGGATTATATCAACGGTGATGAACTGTTGCAAAATAATTTTCCAGAGCCTTTGCCATTAAACCAATTCTTTGATCAGTTTTTTTAATGCAACGTAAATAGTATCCATATTCATTTTTATTTTATGGAAATTGTCTTCACTGATTCTTTTACATATAAGTTTCATGATAAAGATTTTACTTCTTTAAAATTTGTATGTCGAATTTTACTTTGGTTTCCATCATTGTGATATTTCTTATTTCAGGCTCAATTTATTGAAAAGGAAAAAAAAAAAGGCAACCCCGACATTCAGAAGCTAGCCTGGCATCATAGGTCCACCATGTTATCCTCCTATTGTACATTGCATCACAAAATAACCTCAGATATGGTTACAGAGAGTATGATAGAGTGAGACATAGCAAATGCAAATCTACTTTGAAATTTTGTCTAAGCACAGACAAAAACACGGTCACTGTGCCACTCACAAAATATCAAACACCCTTCTTGGAGAAAATGGTGACTGCTAGTCTGCTAGTTCCTTTTTTTTTTGTTTTAGTTTGCATTGATTATTTCAACCAGATCTGATTTCCTTGGCTTCTTGTAATTTCCAATGTTACCTTTAAGATGTGAATCTTCTGAGTTCTTTTCATAACAAACGTCACAGGTGCCATCTTAGCCATTGTCAATTTTATTTTGTAGGATTTGTAAACAAATCCTACAAAAAACGACTACCAGTGATAGTCATTATGAATCAGACAGAAGGTTGATAATTTTTTCATCTGCTTCTTGACTCAAGAACCTTCAGCAGGGCAGTAATGTAGGACCTGGATACATAGCAAAGTAAAAATGGTCTGCTTCAACTGGCAGGCTTATTGTGTGCACCACGCCCTTTACCAGGCACTGGGAACACAGGTCCTGCCGTGAAAGTAATTCACAGTTTAATCAGAGCAATATAGGAGCTGGCTGGCCTCAACTTGCCAGATGGATGAGAATGAAAAGGGCCTTCCAAATGGAGGAAACAGCCAAATGCAATAAGTTTATTTATTCAGTAAATATTTATTGAATACTTACTTTGTGCCAGGAACTGGGCTGAGCATTGGGGATGCAGGAATGAGCATCTTCCATGTGGCCCCTGCTCTCTAGAAGCTGCTGGTCCGGTGGTGGAGATGCGTGTGAAACAGTCGCTCCAGTGACTGCAATGTGTAATAACCACTGCAGAGAAAATCCAGAGTTCTGTGGGAGCCTGGGACAATGGCAACCTGACAAGTGGGGGTCAAGGAGAGCTTCACTGAGAAACTCACTTTTAATGTATGTGAAGGATGAGCTGGTGTTTGCCAGACAAAGAGGAGGTTGTTCTTGGCGGAGGACATAATTCATGCCCTGAAGTGGGAGAAGACTTGACCCTTCTCATGGGATGAAAGCAAGCCCGTGTGGCTGGAATGAAGTGGGTTGGAGGAGGCCGTTGGGGTATGAATGAGGTGGACCAATAGCTGATCCTGCAAGGGCTTGTCCACCACCCTAAGTTGTTTGCATCTTAATTTAAAAGCAAGGAGTCAAGGAAGAGTATGAAGATAAGGAGTGGGGTGATTAGATTATAAATGCATTTTACTATGTCTATGGGAGAATGGATTGGGCAGCGGCAGGGGGATGATAAACATCATGGAACCAATTAGAAGGAGAACACTGTAGTTGTTTACAGGAGCAACAATCATAATTGACCAGGTGGCATTCAGAGGAGGGAAGTATCCATTGCAGCGTTGAGGGTGGAAATGAGATTAGAGTGGATTGAGGAGTGTGTGAGGTGAGGAATATCTGTGAAAAATATGAGAAACAACTCAGTTATGGACCAAATTGCACACTCCAAAATTCATCTTAACTCCTAATGATTTTGAATGCAACTGTATTTGGAGATAAGGCCTTTAAAGAGGTAATTAAGGTTGAATGAGGTCATATGGGTAATGACCTCATCCAATATGACTAGTATCCTTCTAAGGATAGAGACACCCAGGGTGCACACAGGGAGGAAAGACCATGCAGGGATACATTGAAAAGATTGCCATCTGCAAGCCAAGGAAAGTGGCCTCAGGAGAAATCAAGCTGCCGACACCTTGATCTTGGATTTCTAGGTTCTAGAACTGTCAGAAAATACATTTCTGTTGTTTAAGCCACTCAGTCTGTGGTATTTTGTTATGGGAGTCCTGGCAGATTAATACGAACCCAAATGTCCACATAATGAACAGTTGGGTCATAAATTATAATGCATCCATATTGTGGGAAAGAGTCTCACCCTAAAATATGCCCATGCAAGTTCAAGATTTCAACTTTAGGAGGAGTTTCATTTTCATTAAATTTCTTTTCTTTGGCTTGTGAGGATTTCACTGCATTAGCAAAGACCGATACTGAGCCTCAGGAGCAGCCTCCACGCTGTCTTCTCTACAGTGACGTAGTTGGTGCAGGTTTTAAGTAACAGACTCAGGTATCACTTGCATTGTTTCCTTTGTCTTTCTTATACTGGTCTTTAAAAAATTTTTATAACTTTGAGGATCGTGTGTATTTTGTTTCTGAACTTGTACGGTAACTGTGTACCATCAGTTGAAATAGTAATTATCTTTTCCATTTATGAAAATTCACCCTATGAATTTTCTTAGGAACAAATTAACCTTGTAATGAGAGGGATGACTGCTGAATTCTATGCAAATATTTAAAGGAATGAGATAGGGAGAAATGAGGTAGAGCTATATAGAGTGACATGAAAAGATGCCCAAACCATATGAAGAAAAGAGGTGTATATAGATTATGAAGCTCTTTCTGTTTTTTGAGGTTTTTTATTTTATTATTTATTTATTTATTTTTTTTTTTGACAAGGTCTCACTCTGACTCCTAGGCTAGAGTGAAGTGGTGTGATCATGGCTCACTGCAGCCTAAACCACCTGGGCTCAAGCAATCCTCTTACCTCAGCCTCCCAAGTAGCTGGGACTACAAGCACATGCTACCACGCCCAGCTAATTTTTGTATTTTTTATACAGATGGGATTTTGCCATGTTGGCCAGGCTGGTCTTGAACTCCTGGCTTTAAGTGATCTGTACACCTTGACCTCCCAAAGTGCTGGGATTATAGGCTTGAGCCACTCTGCCCAGCTCTCTTTTTGTTTTCTGATACATATAACTATTCGTTAGTAGATGCTTAGGGGAAAAAATCTGGAAACATATACAGCCAATTTTAAAGTATTGTAAAAATCGTATCATTTAAGGATCTAGATTTTGCCAAATGAACCGTGTTGATGAGTTGATAACCTCCTATAGCAGGGAAACTGTAACACATGGTAATACACTGAAGGCCAAGAAGTCAGTGAGAGAGCCATGGACTACCACTTTGATGCTCCCATGTTTACCACCCATGACACATGACCCAGAGTGACCTTTGGGGTCAGGCCACGTAGCAAACACTAGTAAAACTTAGTATTTCTCCTAGTTTCAAATAAACATAACCATGAATATAAATCCTAATATTTTCCCATCTCAATGGATCATCTTGTGCCCTATGTGCCCTGCTTGAGCGAACACTGATATTTCTATAACTCTACAGACAGAGCACTCTACAAATGGATTGGCAGGTGATTCATTAGCATAGTATGTATATGCAATCAGAATACAATTTTGTGTATAAAACATCCACTGTGTATGATTCAGGGAACACAAGTGTTCTGAGAAGGGAAGCACCAACACCATCAGGTATTTGTTTTCTGAGAAAGGAGGAAGATAGACTTTGATGATTTCTAGGATGGCTTCCCACTGACTCTCTAAAACCCCTGGACCTCTCTAAGCCATTGAGGAAGCAGTTGAAGTGGCTGTAGTGGAATGAAGTGGTCTCTTTAAAGAAAATTGTATCCAGAGTGACTGTTAACCAGTGTGATACATGACAGTCTTTGAAATAAATGTCCTTAAAGTCATTCAGTGTGATTCTGTGTAGCTCTTCCACACTGAAGATGTTCTGTTTCATAAAAACTTAAATTTAATAATAGAATTTCATAACTATCCCCTTATGATACATCAAATATTAGTTTTCAGACTTTTAGCTACTTCTCCTAGAGGCAGAGTTTCCACAAAGAAGTCTCAGCTAAATGCTAAGCACTGTTACCAAGTGGAGAAATGAAGATTGAACATCGCCAAAGCAATTGTGCACATTTTTGGAAAATAATTTTATTTGTCAGAATGAAATTCACAGCCCTTTTAAGCAAAAAGTAGGCACATGATCAAAATGGCATTGAATTAGAAAAAGAAGTTAATCAAGCAATCTTTATTGAAGCCGTCTGTGCTGGGGTTCGTGAAGGAAGCATTGTAATCCTGGCTGACATTTATCATGACATTTATTGTATCTTGTGCCAGGCGGAGCCAGATCAAAAGGTGGGTTATCTGTGCAGCTGCCCAAAGCACTAACCCATAAGCAGCACTGAAATGTCAAGGGAACAAATGGGAAATGGGTGCCAGTTACCTGAGCATTTCACAGGATTCCTTCAGAGTTGGCAAACTAAGTGGTTTCACTCCCACCAATGTAGGCAGCACATTCAAGTGATGTGACAGGGAATAGGGGTGTGTTGGGGAAGTGGGTGAGGTCAGGACTTTCAAGCTGGGACTACCCGAAGGTGAAGGAGGAGCCAGCACATGGGGACATCAGGTACAGGGACAGTGGTGCAGACAACCCCATCCCAGGTGATGAGGGGCTAGAGCACAGGGAACCTGGGAGAGAGGCGCCAGTGAGGTCGGAAGGTAGTCGGAAGCCACAGGAAAGAATTTAATATTATCTGAGCTGTGATGGGAAAGCACTGACGTTTTCAACAGGGAAGTGGCATGAGGTGACTCACCTTTGAAAGGACGCATTTGGCTGACCGCTGGAGAACGGCTTCAAGAAGGCAAGAGTAGAGGCAGAGAGTGGATAATGAGAGGCCATGGAGGTGAGAAGTGAGGGTGATGGACTTGGGATGACACTTCTTGTTAGAGCCAGCAGGATTGGCTGAATACAATAGTTGCTTCCTAACTGGGCAGGGCTGGGCTGGGGCTTCCATGCTCAGTCTCCTACACTGCAACCTCCTGGCAGCAGCCAGAGGGATTTTTCTAAAATATAAATCAGAATGTTACCTTAAAACCTTCAAGTGAAATAACCTAAATGGTTCCCAATAGGGAACTGGGTAAATAAATAACAGT